AAAATCCCATAGCTCGCACCCACTGCATCGTTTTGTTCGGGGCGAAACAACACTTCGGCCATGTGGTTCCCGAGTTTTTCGATCCAAAAATATTGGATACGATACTGTCGATGGATTCACTTGAATTTTATTTTTTTTCTCCATCGGTCAAAAAAGAGGAAGAAGAACCAAAAATGTAAACGAAACGCACACAAGAGAAAATTAAATCAGCTTGAGTTTGCATGTCGTCGTCTTTTCGAGAGACAATTAAATGGCTATTCAGGCGCAAAGACCGTCAAAATCAGTAGCCTTGTCGTGTCCCGTGTGCGAAAGCCATTGTCATACTGACAATATCAATAGATTTTGCTTGTTCGATTTTATTTCATTTTTTTTCCATTGTCCCGTTTGATTTTGAGAGGAGGAAAGAAAAAAAAAAGGTTCAAGTGTGCATGAATTAATAGAAAAACTGTCACGTTCAATCGAATACGGTTCGTTTTTCGTTTTTGTTCACTGTAGTTTGAATTTTTGCGATGTCCTTCCTGTTTACCGATGTTTCTCTTCTTGGCCATTCTCAATTCTACTTCTTCACAAAGCATAATGCTCAGGCAAACACACACACACACACATTTTTTATGATCAATTTTCACTATTTAAACATTTGAAGCTGAATGAAGAGAACGAAAAAAAACGATCCGAGTGTTTATTCTCTTCATCTCATCGTCCCTTCATTTTGTATGCAATTGACCCGCTTCAAAATGCAACCGAGTGTAAGTACAGTGAAATCCACTTATTGTCATTCTCAGCAGCTCGAGTAAACATTAGATTGCCTTTACTCGGGGAGCGAAAAAAAACCTTATCACTACTTCTGTACTGAATTCACAATATCTTTGTTGATTCAAGTATGCGAATAGTTGACGTATAGGTTTGCTAGAGCGCGCACATTCTCTCTCCCACTCACACAAACAAATTCTTTTTTTATTATTTCCATCTCTTTTGGTCATTCACTATCCGCCGCTCCAACTCTCTCTCTCAACCTCCCTTTCCGTCTCGTCTCGACACCAGAGCCGAGCTGCAAATTGATTCAAAAACATGCTTTGAATGATGAAGGTGACTCGAGCGTAGGAAAAGCGACGATTCATTGCGAACAATTGCCACATGCATGGAATAAAACAATCGGGACTAAGCTCCCGTTCACCAGATGCATTCATGGCTCTAATCTATTTTGCATTTTTGTTGCAGTGTTGCAACAAATTAAAAATGAGCTGAAACCGAAACACAGGCGAACAAAATAGAAGACAGAAAAATGGCCAATTTCGCTGTGATTTATTTTGGAAAGCAGGGGCGTGCATGCATAACATTCAATTCGGCTGAGCATATGCGACTACTTTTGATGAAACGATAATCAAAATTTATTTTTCACATTCTCGCTCTCGCTTCCATTCGACGTCATTTCATTGAGAGAATTTTTCCGTTGTCGCCCGCCCGTTTTCGTTTTTGATATGCGTCGTTCCCATCGTTCTATTCATGAAATGTGATTCAGTTTTGGAATTTGCAGCGTGTGAACGGCGAACGGATGTTTATAAACTATGTTTAAATATTAATGAAATTGTGTGTGTGTGTGTGTGTGTGTACGCGTACACATACAATGTGACATTTTACTGGGACAGCAGCATGTGACAAAAACAAACAAATGACAAATGTTGGCAATACCCAAACGATTACCATTGAGTGCGTAATCTGTACAAATGACGAATATTACGCGCGCGTTTTTTTTTCTGGCGTGAGCTTTATTTATAGTAGAATGGGATAGAACAACACTAAAAAGCGCAAGGAGAGAAGAGGAAATGACGAATCCGTTTCCACTGAAAAACACACTTTTTGACAGTGAGCTATGGTAATAATAGCAATAATAATAAACAAAATGACGAAAGCGATAGCAGAAGAGAGCTAAATGTGAAAGTGAACGAGATGGCGCTCGTCGAATGAGATGGGTGAGAGAAGAAGAAAAACCCAACACGCGTCAAAAAATTTTTTATTTTGATCGTGTTAATATTGTCGCATGGGAAATGATTACAATGTTTTTCCATTTCATAGATACCAGATTTTTTCTTCGCATTTTTTCGGTGTGCGTGTGCTGCCAGTGGCAAATGTTCGCATCAATGCGTACCAGATATTTCAAAGAGGAGAGCAACGGTTGCTTTTGACGTGCTATTGTTGTTGTTTCGCATCATTTTTTTCTTCTTCTCACAAATATATCGTCATTGTTGTTATTTGTTGGCATTATGAATGCTTTATGATTTGTTTTTTGTTTTTCATTTGTTTGTTTTATTTTCAGATGAAAGAAATCTAAATTGTTTGCGAGTCTCTTTTTTTTATATGTCGGTATTCTCGTTACGTTTTTCATATCTTTCTATTTCTCTTTCTTCTCGCGGATATTTTGATATCAAACATTGATTTAGCATTGAAGTGTTCGTTGTTATCGTATTTCGACCTCCCAGTTGAATATACGAAAAAATAAGGTTTCCACTCAATTAAATTGTGAATGAATGCATCGCGACTTTTACCGCTTAGAAGAGAAAATCAAACGTACAAAAAAAAAATACGTAGGGAAAGTAATGCGGATATTTTGTAATCAAGTTATTTGCGTATGCGTTGCTAGGAACAGAGATCCTTCGGAACTTTGTTCCCCTCGCAAACCTTTTTTCTCAACCTACCGGAAAAGAAGCGAAAAATAAAATCGCTTTTATCAAATTTTACGGACGTTCAATTATTTATTTTAGTAAAGTCGTTGAATACTATGCTTCTACTGCAAATGCATTGGTAGTATGGCCATCCATGATAGAAATATAGACATTTCGATGAGAGAAAACAGAGAGTCTTTAATGTGCCTACTTAAATATTGACAATAGAATCTTAGTTTGAATGTGTACATCTAGCATAATCTACTTGGTATATTTAACCCTCTAATGCATACAACCGCCTCTAGACGGGCAACATTTGAACGCCTGTAGAACGTAAACCGTACATCGGATCACATTGCTTCAAAGAGAATTTTTATTCGTCAATGTTCTCTCTTTATTTTTGTCGTTGGCAATATTTTTCTATGTAGTGTGATTGTAAAGTTATGAACAAAAATGTGTGCATAAACAAAAATTTGACAAAATAAATTATTCGAACTTCAAATTAGACACATTTTTGACACATTTAAACAATGGATTTGATTGTTCTTTGATTCATGTCAATCGCATTTCCTGACTGAACCTTGAGGAATCTAGGATTATGAATATTTTTTTATATATCTATGGCCAAAAATCAACCAAGTACCAGTACTCCCAGCCCTGGGAAAAATTAATGCATTAAAGGGTTAATGTGCGAAGACATTTCATCGAAGCTTTTTCTCTTCCTATTTACCTACATTGGGTCAATAAGCGTCGACTGTTCCACTTCAAGCCTATCACTGTTAATCAAAAACGAAACGAAGAAATAAACAAAACTTAGTCTTGTGTTTGACTGAGCAGCCATTCGATGGCTAAGCAAATGAAGTCAAATTCTATGTTTAGCCAGCTGACGTTAATAAATAATGTTGAATAAACGCATAAACCGAATAAAAAGCTCTTCAATATGCAAAAGATGACCATCTAAAATGGCATTCACACCATATAACCATATTTTCTTCATCGTGACTTTGTGTGTGAATTCAAAGTGGCAACAGCAAAGATAGAATGTTAGAAGTGTAGATATGGCGTGTCGTGAGAAGAGCAAATAGAGAAAAAAAATCCGATTTGGAAGAGTATCAAATTAAGATGATGTGCATTTCGATTGGAGTGTGCGAACGTGAGATCGATATGCGACCGGCATACGACGGTTTGCTTTTCCCACACATGTATACACACATAAGCGTTTACACATTCACTACTCACTTGTTGACACTTTGGATTGTGTCTTAATGCGCTTAATGCTCACAGCGACAAGCCGCTGCTCAAAAACACATTCATTTATTTCAATGAAGTGGTTCCGTGAATGCGTCTTTTCATTTGTCTGCTGCTGCTGCTGCTGCTGCTGTTGTCGTCGACGATGTTAATGCTTTTCTTGTGGATTCTTTTCCGATTCTCTCTCTCTCTCTCTCACACATACACTCACTCTCACTCTCTATTAGCAGCTTTTATGGCAAAAGCCACTGCTGCGTTGTTTCGAGAGATGGCTGTATTGCTAAGTGTCTTTTCTTTGTACGCTGGTATTATGCAGACACACACACATACGGATGCTGTCTGCTCCACACATTTGCATACGCCAGCGTCATTTAAGTAGGTTTTCGCCTTTTCTTGCATTTTACCAGAGCATAAGTGTCGTGCAGTAGCAAGGAAAAAAATACATACAGGAAAAAGTCAAGCACTTACGATGAGAGTGCTTTTGAAGGCGAAACAACAGAGAAAAAAAAATCCAAAGAAGCATAAAAGAGCAGTGGGTAGGGTAGATGGTGGGAAAAAGTGATACATGTAAGTGCTACAGTGTGACAATGAATCGAGATTCAAGGGGATTATTTATTCAGCAATTGAAATTTCCGCGCTCACCTCTTCCGCCGCCAACCAATGAAAATCAATAACAAACTGTTCCACAGCTCTGAACATGGATTTCACGTAGTTGAAAATGAGAGGAATAAAGAAATAACACCAACATACACATTTCCCTCGCTCTAAGCCACATGGAATTTGCTTATTCATTTTTCACATGGCAGTTGGCAAAGCACTGCAAACACATATGCTCCTTATTTTCGTCCATAAATTATACTGAAACCGCTCAAAATTCAATTTTACATGCGCAGATTCGCAAACAATTTTTCAATTTTTCCATCCATTAATTTCGGGATTGCAACCGTCCCAATTCTTTTTCTCCACGCTTTCTTCCCTTCTCTCTCTCTCTCTCTCTCTCTCTCTCTCTCTCGCTCCCTCTCAAACCAAATGAAATTCTTTTTTTCAATGATGAACTTTTTTTTCTTTTTCTCTTTTCTTGTTTTCCTTTAGGGCAGCACATTACGAAACTCCAATAAAACACACCCGGAAACAAAAGGCTCGTGCTTCGGAAGGCTGGTTCAGAAATTTTCATTTTTTCCCCCTTTATTTGAAGTGCTTGCGATTTGCCGAACTCTCTCGCTCACACAAACACGAGCGACGAAAACCAAAAAAAAACTTTGCCTAGTATTTCATACACGCGATATTCGGTGCATCCGTTTTCTCCATAGCTTTAATTAAATATTTCAAAAGTGTGAACGAAGTGAACACGATACATACATACACACTCACCGGTGGAAAGGAGGCACGTGTTAACGAAAAAAAACTAACGCTGCAGAATATCTGAAACGGAAGTACACTTTTTTTTATTCTGATGAAGAGTGCGTGCTTCGTGTTTCAAACGAAATACAAGTGAAATCGCACACATTGGTACAAACTGAGTGAGCAATTGCAATTGCAAAAAATCCGCAGCGAACGACGGGTGCAGTAGAGAGCAAAAGAAGCAGCAAAAAAAATTGTAACGTGACATAAACGAGACGTGAAGATTGGAATTGGAATTTGGTGTAGCGTATCAAAATTACGTCGAAACAAGAAGAACAACCGAATCGAAAACAAAGTTTATCCGTTCGTTGATCGAGAAAGTTTGTGCCACGCGGGTTTTTACCTACATATATAAATAAAATATTGTTTCGTTTTTTGTATAAAATTCGGTTGAAAAAATGTCGTCACGCGTCACGATAAGTGGTGATGGTTTAGACCATATAGGTGGTGGTGTAAGTGGCAGCCGCAGCAATCAATCGTCAAGCCAGCGAAGACAACGTTCAAGGTAAGTACGATCTTGAAAAAACTAGTATACATTTTTGAATTAACCGTTCTCCTTCAGAAACCCAAATTCTTCAGCATTTGATTGAAAATCCATTTACATTTTTCTCGTGTGTTTTCTCTAATTTGATTGATTCGACTGCATTAATAACATTCCGAAAGGATGTCAAACGTTGTGGCTGTTTCAAGCTTCGCTACACAATCTAATTTTTACAAAGTGAATTTTCAATTCGAGTTAATTCCACACACACACACACTCACACATTCTCTTCTGCAACAAAAAATTCCATTTTGACTCTAAGCCTTTTTTGGCTTCCGTTTTGTATTTCTTCGCATTTGACACATTCACAATTCATTTGACGCTATCGAATTTTTCACATGTTCCCACAAAAAACCGAAGTGATCAATGAAAACGACAGCCCGTATATTGATGTGCAGTTCGTCTTGAGGCCGGGCCTCATTTCGTTTGATTTATTTTATCATCCATTAATGCGATAAAACGAATTTCGTGACACACATACTGAAGGCAATGGCAAACTGACATTTCTTGTCACAGCGTCGATGAAGTTCTTCTGGGAGGACATGCGGGGCAGGCTCTTCACAGGGGTCTCTGCGTTCTTCTCTTTCTCAAATTCGACGATAACATCAATGACATATTTGGTTTATTAACTCTTTTGATGATGAGAACATTGACTCGATTAGATGCGGAATGCGAGCGCAAATTTCGAAATAAAAACCATACTCGGTTGGTTCCAACTAGTTGGTTTGGCGCTGTTCCTTTCGCAATATTATATGAGTTTTATATGCTGCACGTAGGCACTATCTTCATAAAATACTTACTCGCACACACTTTTTGCATGATATTTATTCGTTCATTAAAAGCGAAATCTTTCAAACCAACATTGAGTCGATCTTGGTATTGGTCGCACGCAATTTGTCTGTTTACCCCGTCGTCGTTCAGTCTGACATGCATTAAACAGTGACGGATCGTATGGAGATGTGATGCCTGTGTCTTATTTGATTTAGAAAGACGGAAAAAAATTATTCAAAGGGTCAAAGATAAGCGAAAGTCTATATATCTTCTATTTGTCTCTTTGATATGCTCTTTGTGGAGCAAACGAGCTATCGTTCGGGCTCAAGAAATGAAGGTCGGAAAAAAAGAAGAGAAAAAAGCGTGCACAAAACGAAGCGCAGTCAAACAGATGTTTTGGGCTGTTTTACCTAATACTGTGTGTGTGTGTGTGTGCGCGTTCGTTGTGTTTGCCTTTGATCAGGATTTATGGTTTAGTTACAATTTATACCGATGATGAACCGAGTTTCAACCGAGTGATTATCCCAACAGCAAAGACAATCAAACGAACACAATCCAAACAGATAGACACGCACGCACGCGCTCAGCTCAGAGAAAGAGAAATAAAAGCACAATGAATTGTACCGAACAAGTCATAAGCATGTCATTGTATCTTTTTTGGCATGCTTTTTTTCTCTTCGTTTCTTCTGCTGTGATCTGTGTTATATATGAAGAAATGGCACGGTGAGCGTTGGTTTGCGGGCCAAATGTAGCATGTATCGACGCAAACTTATCGAGAGGTTCAATGAGTTGAGTTGCTTTGCCTGGACAGTTTCCTGCTAAATATGTTTCGAATCATGGGCTAATGGTCCAAATTCCATGTATGTTTTTGCTAATTTGTACGCGGTTTGTGTGCTTCACCCTAACTAACCGCAAGCGAAACGTCCAATTCAGACGGAAAAACTTGTTGAATCACGTGTAGACACCACGATGTGATTTCTGCAACACCCGGCTCCTCCGGCTTGTCTAAGGCCTGTCATTTTTTTTCCTCTTTCAAGCATCGACCAACTTTTTTCCTTCAAATATTATACTGCTCATGACGATTTTGCAATTTTTTGTATATACGGTTTTGCTTACACAATGAATTACTCAAATCGAAGAAAAACAAGAGAAAAATGAGTAAAACAAATACCGGTACATGTGTAACTGCTTCTAGCCTCTGAATAAAAAGTTTAAAAAAAAGAAGAAAAATTAGTCGGCGTTCATTTATGCTCATCATAAAATCGGTTTGTTGGCTTTGGTTTGAATTACTTTTATTCAAATGTTCACAGAAACAAATTTGAATAAGAAGCAAGTCACGTGATTCGGTCGTGTCTCAATAGGATTCCAATTGACGAATGTATATCGATAAAATTCTTCAATGTGTTATTCTCGTCTTTTTGCAACGGTTTGTGCAATGATAAGCGAATAGAATAAGATTAAACGAACGTATTCTTAGAAGATTTGTGAAAGTCGTCAGAAAGTTAAGCGAAACGCATGGACGAATAAATGAAACGGACGAACAAGCGAGTGAGCTGGAGGGCAGGCGCCGCATCAACATCGTAAAGAGTGAAAAAAATGTACAATTTTGATGGAAAACACGCAAATAAAAGTGTCTGCTGGTTTTCATATATCAAACGAATGGTGATGGAGAGAAGTAAATGAAAGCCAACCAAAGAAAAGCAGGGAAGAGAAAAAAAATATATGGGAAAATTCATTGAAAGGGTTTACATATTTTGTGTACATATTATATACTTTGGTTTTTTTTTCTCTGGGTTTTCTCTTCAGTTCTGTATCCTTCTGAGAAAGCGCACGTGCACCTTCACCATATAATTTTCCTCCTGCTGTTAGCGGATTTTCTCTAGCTTTGCAAACCTTTCGATTCACATGTACAGACACTCAGAGAGTAGAAAAAATGCACCAAAGAACTTTTTCAATTGAATCTTCGAAACAATAAGAGGAAAAAGCTTGATTTTGCACAACAAAAGAAATGATACGAAAATTTAACGAACCGCTTAAATAAACAGGAAGTCATTGCATATGAAAACGTAACGGAAACTTGAGCCATTTAACCATTTCCGAGTATTTGTGATGGTTTTTAATGCCGCATTTCGGTTTCTGCTTCGTTGAGATTTAAGAAATAAGCATGCTTTGGCCCGAATTATCACCCTTTAAATTCCACACTCATCAACCGGTGCATATTTGACGACTTACCGCCGTTTCACCGTCACTTTGTTCCTGATTTCGAAACGAAACCGGCCGTTCGTGTCAGTGGTGGGAAAAAAATGACTGAGTGAATGAATGAATTAATCTAATCATATCCTGAAAAATGACATAATCATATCTCCGAATCTATTGACGTCGTTTTGATTGAAAAACCATGCCTTAGCTCTCGAGAGTTAATTCAGGATATCCAAAAGTTTTTTTTTGCATTTTTCTGTTTTTGGACGAAAAAAAGGAAACAACAGAAAACATTTGGATGGATCATCCCGCATCTTCAATTATTATATCGTCTCAATGGCGTGCTTTCATGGCTCTTATCATCCCGGTCGGTTTTTATCATCGTACAATACCTTTTGTGTGATGGCTTTTTTTATGTAGCCTCTTCTTCTTCGTTTTTTCTTCTTCTTGCTCGTCGTCGTCGTCGTCGTTGTCCATTTTTTGTAATGGGAAAGTTTCATAATATTTTGTGCACAATGATTTTGTCGGCTGCCAATCCTTTTCTCATCCAATGCTTCTTTCTCTTGCTCTCTCTCTATGTGTGTCTTTCTCTCTGTGTGTGTGCGGTTATTTCATCCACTTTTGCCTTTTATGTCTATTTTGTCGGTTCGATTTTTTCTTTGCATTTGATTACATTTACTGTGGAATATGTATTCAGGCTGACAGCCTAATATAACCGATAGATCGGAACTAGCGTGAACAAGAGATTCTATGTACTTCGTCAAGTGTATGGGACAACAAACATACAAGATGAAGAAGAAAATAAAACTGATAGCCATTCACACGAGAGAGGGAGAGAAAGAATGAAAGGAGTACGAACGAACGGAATGATTGAACTGAAAAAGAAACGAGTCCGCAACCCGGTTCCAATGTAATACGCTTACATGTTATCGGTTGATGTGCATAAACCGAACTTTCTTATCCAAACGGATTATGAACAACGACACCGTTTTGCCGCTGCACTTTTATCAAAACTGTTATTGTTTTTAGTTGATCATTTTTGCGATTGGATATTTTCCCATTATTATCTATCGATATTTTTATTGGCCGCCTTTTTTCTTCTTTTTTTGTCCCTTTTTTGTCGTTGTTACGATATGTGGCGGCACAATTGGTCGTCTCTTGCTCTCCACAGTTTTCGGTTGATATTGTCTTTTGTTTTACCATTTCGTAGAACCGTTCATACAGATTAGATACACTCACATAAATTGCAGTAATACTTTCTTAGATTAGCCTTTCTACGCGCGCGTTGCGCGCACACAGGGAAAAAGGTTGTGTATGTGTGTGAAATTATGGCCGCTGGGGACTGGTTAGTCGGGGCGACAAAATACGATCGATATATTCAACAACCAACTAACAAACCAACGAATGAAATTGACCGATTTCTTCATGGTTCAACGAATCCACTCACATTCTCTCGAGATATATATAGTGAACGATGAGCTCAATGGGGGAGAGAGAGAGAGAGAGAGAAACAATACCATCACTAAACTGTGCTATCAATTTTCTCTCCGTTCGTCGCGTCGTGCAAAAAAACATCGATTTTATGATGCAGCGGGGAAAGTGCACAATGAGATGGGAATCAGTGAGAGCGGTAGAAAAAGTTCTTGATAAAGTTATTGCATAGTTATTGTACGTTCGCCAAGCGCATCGGACAATGACTACCGATTATGATGCTCAGCCAACTGTCATCTTCAGTTTATTTAAAATCTATCGGAAAAAAATTTATGTTACCATTGGTTGTTACCAACAAACACATTCGATCCCATTTGTTTCTCAGCCCATGCACGCAAACCAAACCCCGTTTTGTTTTGTTTCACTTATGAAAAAAACTTTTCCATAAAGTTGGTGCATGCATTGCTTCTCAGAAGGGTTACAATTGCAAAAACGAAGCATTATTGAATGTACGAAGAAACGGAAAATTTCCGTTCCATCTTAAAATAACGAGTCACAACCAA